CTGATATAGGCTTTGACTGATATTGTCAGTGAAGAAAGTAAACATAGGGTCAACTGATAGGTTGATTTTGCCTATGAATCATTTTCTCAGACGCGTTTATTTACTGAAAGCTACTAAAGGTAATTAAGTTTATTAAATGCATTCACAATATGTAGGCTACACATTTATTATTGATCTAATGCCTAATACAGGGCCTAATACAGGGCTTTAGTCACAGAGGTCCTAAATTTGAGTTTAGTAGGGGGTTCAAATTTTTTATTTCTCTGATATGTGCATTTCAAGACGTTTGAAGACCAAAAAAGGATAAGAAATAGCTTTAAAACCATGTCAGTGGGCAGATTATTTGTCAATACCTGCTCTCTTCTCATCTCTATCACTCTTTCTTTTTTTCTCAGTCTCTTCATCCCTTTCTCTTCCCCTCCTAAAGCTGAGCTTTTTTAATTTACTAAAGGCTACAATTTGTATTATATTCTCAATATGTACACATTCATTATTAATCTTGTGCCTAACATGATGAAAACGGCTTTGTTAACGTTTCTTGTAAACTAATTATTACATTACATGAGTCACGTTACATAGGCCTATTTTCAGTTCAAAATGGCGAAATTAGACAAAACTATATTAGTTTGCCTGATTATTTTTTGTCATTCGTTTCACATTTATGACCTAAAAAAGTAAAATATGAAATGTTAAGTTTAGCTACTTACATCTTATCTCGCACTTGACCATATACGCGTCGAGTCGCACTGTTAAAAAATTCGCGCTCAGCAGCGTCTGTGAACATAAAGCCCGCCTACTTTGATTTGATTGGTCATCTCAAATATTCTGACATTGACGAGCAGTGACAGACCAATGAGGCTCAGATGAACACACATGAACACACACACACACACACACCCTGTCCTCTGTTTCTGACGTGCTCTCTGCTCGGCGCCGCTGCGGATTGAAGATGAAGAACGCGCTGAATCTGATTATAACAAGACTGAAGCGAACACGAATTTGTGTAGCCTACATTAATCGCACATTTTTAGGGGGGCTAGGCAGAAGTTTAGGGGGGCTGAAGCCCCCCTAAAAAGGGCCTAGTGACGCCCCTGCAGTTAAGTGTCATGGGATTTGTTGTGGGCACAGCTTGATGACATTGACATTTTGTCTTTAAACTTGTTTTTTCAGTTCTCTGTCTACTTATTGGGATGTAAATATTAATTTCTTTTCACACATTTCATTCCTGTCTCTTTCTGCAAATGTCTCTCTCACACTTTCAGGGTGGATCAGATTCTTGGTAGGGGCCAGATGCCTGTGGATAAGAAGGTCAGAGAAAAGTTGTTATCTGATGGAGACATTCTGGAAGATGTGAGCATGTTGGGAAGGGTGTGTAAGGTAGAGAGACAGGTGAGTAGAGACACTTGGTTAAACAATGCATTACACAATCCAATGTACATTGATTCATTCCATCTCATTGAATCCTTGGATAATGCACTGGTTTTCAATATGACAGAAATGAGACAGTTTGTTGCTTCAACTATGGGCAGTTTAGCCCTGTGGATGTTTAGAAAAAGTCTCTTAAAACACTTTTCTTGTTTTGTTTTTCTGAAAGTAATAAGTCTCATTTTTATTTTGAAAGATTACTTGTGTTTAAGAACATTCTGGGGTGAAATTGATGGTGCTAGAAATGTATTTTAACATTTTTATAGTAAAATGGCCGACTCCTTAGTCATGATAAGGCTTTTTTATAGTTAGTGTTTTACGTATCCTAAATACACACAAATATATACAATTTATGATTCACGGTTTTTGAATGGAAATGATTCACAATACAGTATGATTATCCTGTTCAGAAAATCACCACCTTGGAATTATAAGGCTCTATCTGCAGTTTTGAGATATTGAGCATTCCATTCGACTTTGCATATATAACCTTTTTGTTTTCTAAATAAAAGGTCCCAAAATTTACACAACATAAAAAAACATCACATAATGTTAATAAGTGGTCACATAATAAGAAATACATAGCACAAATAGCATACATGAAATTACCTTTAGCACATCTACACAGGTGGAACTGGGGAGGTGGAGGGTTTATGATTGCTGTAAGCAATCACAGAACCAAACTATTTAAATGTTGAGCAAGCAAGCTCATTGGCTGCAGATGCAACAGAGACCAATTGGCTTGTGCCATGTAGTAATTGATTTGAAAGCTAGCAGATAGCGATCTATCCTCAAGAGTTTTGTGACAGAACTAGATATTTGGCCTTTGAGTCAAAAGGTTGAGAACCACTGTATTAAACATAACATAAACATAATGTTGTCTGACAAACAATATTTCTGTGTTCCATATATCATCTCTATAGGTACAGTCTATTGAAGCTAAGCTGGACTCATTGCTGGACATCTACCGGCAGGTTCTGAAGGGTTCGTCCTCTGCCCCCACTCTCTCCTCTCTTCCTCCTTTTGGGTTGGAGGAGACGTCAGACTATCAGAGCACCATCCTCAGTAAGGATCTCTCTTGCCCCTCCCAGGTCAGCCAGTCCATCTGTTACAATCATCCCAGGGCTCTCCAACTAATATTAGCCCCCAATGAACTCAATCTAAACCAGAACAACTCCACAACATCTTCCCCTGGGCTCAATCCAGCCTCTGCCTCGCCTTTTAACCCATCGACCTTCCAGGTTCCTTCAACCCCATCCATGGAGTGTCCATCAGCACAAGGCAGTCCATCTCAAATCCTCAGCGCCAACAGCTTTCACTCTGTAAGCCACTTTCCATACGTTGGCCAACCAGCTCCACCTCTTCCACCCACAGCTTCTTCAAAACTTCAACTCTCCACTGTTCCTCCACAACCAGGCCATGCCCGCAGCATGGGACCCTCTAGGTCAGACCCCACCGACTACGCCAAATCCTACTTTAGAGGAGTTGGGATAGACTTAGGACTTAACTCTAGTATGGGCTGCAAGCTTCAGCAAAAAAACAGACCAAATGCTAAAGAAGACAGTTCTTGGAGGAGACATATAAGCCTGGATGCAGAGGTGGAGATGGACCCCCTTGTTCCAGTTTCGACTCTTGTCCCGGTTCAAGACCAATGCAGTGAAGACAGAGGTTTGGGGAAGTCCCTCTCTGTGCAGGACCTCATGCAGCCCGCTCTAGAGGTTCTGGACATGCATTCTAGTCAGGCTAGTTTCTCCACTAGTGTTAGCAGCAGCCAGGACTCTTCAGCTGGGGGCATTGAGATGGGGGTAGCGGGCTGGGGAGAAGCTAATCTCTTCATCAGCGATAGAGACCTGGAGGTCTCAAAGACACATACTCAAGGGTTTGACTTTCTTTCTCAGCCCCCGATTGATCCATCCTACTCATCGGAGCTGCTTAGGACAAGTACTACGGCTGGTGCTAGTCACAACCTAGCACGTGGACATTCACCCAATACGGACAGCAATGAAACTATGAATATGCCACATGTTCGACTAAAATAACTCAATATCTAAAGTGTTCTTAGAAACCCCCTCTGATGGAATGAAACTTTGATACGAGAGCTTATTTTATTTTGTAGGGTTTTTTTGTATTTTTATGAGGAAAAAGTACATTTAGATCATTTTATACATGTTAGTTTGGTTTATTTAAAAGAAACAATTATGATTTTGTATCGGTCACCGTACATGATATATCATTGCATGCATTGTTCTTTTTCAAATGTACTGTAACTTTTTTTTTAAATCTAATAGAATGTGGTAGATTAATAATCAACCTGCTGAAATGATCAAAATCATAGATGGCATGAACTATTCACTGGACTGCATGAACACTCTTGTCTTAAGCATACAGTATGTATGCAAGACACTGCATGTCTTCAGCATACAGAAACACAGTCTCATTACAAAAAGCCTTGTCAACCTGAAATTTACAACCTGCCTAAAAATAGATAAAAATGGTCAGAACATATTTTTCTCTTTCTGAATTTATCATATTGTATTACAAGGTCATTTACTTTTCTTATGTAAAAAAAAAGTACCAGATGCTGCTGAAAATTTTACAGTTTTGCTAAAGCAGATTCAATTTTGAGAGAAGCATCTGATAGTTTCCATACTACATTAGTTGCTGTTTTTGTAATTAGTTCTGATCACATCACAGCTGCAGCCCAACTTAATATCCTACCTGTTAGTTTTGTGAATATAAATTATTATTAACAACAATAAAAAATAGCAATTATGAATCATTTTAAAGGGGTCATGAGCTGGCTTTTTTTTTTTTTTTTTTATTATATTGTTGTCTGAGGTCAACTTATGACGTTCGCTTGGTTTTTACATTCAAAAACATCAAAATGAAAAAGTAATAGGCTATTTTCTACTACCCTAGTTTTGAGCCTAGCTCAAAAACGCTCGGTTTTTATGGGCGTCTGGCATTGAAGACTTGGAAGTAAACGCCCACTGCTGCGAGTGGATAACAGTTTTGCATATTAAAATGAGTTTCGCGCGAATCGGTGGGCGGGGCTAAACCGGCCGTGTTGTAGCAGGGGTTGATCTTCTTCTGCGGGGGTGGTGTTTTATCCTCTTTGTCGTCATAGTTCCCCACTTTGAAAAACGAGTCGTTTGCTGAGCCTGGTGTCAATAAAAGCTTTTATTGGACTAACAAGGACGTTTTCAGTTCTGAAACTTACAGGATATTCTTATATGATGACCTCTTAGATGTCAAAAGCTCAAGGAAAATTTGATTTCTCAGTTCATCAACCCTTTAATACATTGTATGTATGTGTGTGATTTATCATAATTCATAATAAATGTTATTTTATTTTGTTGTTAATTATAGTTTGTAATATTTACTAATAGTTATATTTTTATAGTCATTGTTTTTATCATTTTAGTTGGCATGTGCAACAGCAGTGAATATTTGTGTCAGATCTCTCCAAAATCTGACGTAAATACAATAGCATACATGCCTATACTCATCAAAGATGCTTGTGAAAATATCTTCTCCTGTTGTTATTCCTTTGTCTAGTAATTTAGAAGCAGACAGAGTTCAAATGCATTTTATTTTTGGTTAAGAACCGACACATAAGATAATGGAGAATCATATTCTCGTTAAAGTACATGAGTGCAAGTGCAAACAGGATAGCTCATGCTTCTTCGGAGCGCTGTCAGGGTAGACAGTAAAGTGCGCTGGGTACTTTAGCTTCATGCACACAGAAAAAGACTTTTAAAAAACTACATCACATCACAACACATCAACAGACTGTTGATCAATCACATCAATCAGAACAGACTAAGAATCTTCAACCTATTGGACTATAAGCCAGGTCATTTAAGCAATCTTAGCAAGAGTCTTCTTAAAGTGCTTATAACAATTTAACAATAGAGCAAATAGACTTACAATTCAAACTGAACATACAGTTAAACATAAATATACCATCATAATCATTGTCAAGCAGGTGCAAGGTTTCCTTTTCCTTCTTCTGCTTTTGCGATGCATTGTGATAATTAACCAAGCCTTGATTATGGAGTTGAAAAGAGGAGGGATGGTGTGGCTGACCCAAGTGTTAGCAGCCCAGCACAACATTCATTTGTTCTTCTGGGCCTTTTGGGCAGATTTTGTGACCTTCCCGGAGGAAGAAGTCTTCTTCTCAACACCCTTGATGACGCCCACTGCTACGGTCTGACGCATGTCACGCACTGCAAAGCGACCTGGGAAATGAAGATCATAAGAAAAACAGAGCTTAGTTATGATTATAAATCAAGGGTCTTCAATCTCTGTGAGGCCAAAAATCAAGATTCATATTGCATTTTACGCCTTCCATTTACATGCTACAATACTGTAAATATATACAACTTATGTATTAACATTTAAATTACATTTTAATTTTACTAAGCATTTTGAGGTGCATTTACTGTTCTGCAAATTCAGGTTCAAGATGGTCATGCAAATTCGCCATACTGACCAACAGAAAGTTGATTGGTTTGAAATTGACTTGTGTGAGCTGCGCTTCATGAATTGATATTATTATAATTATTAATTATTTTGTAAGAGCCATAGCCTATTTGGATGCAATTTTCAATCTTGGCTAAAAGTCCTTTGCTGTTCCCCTCTCTTCTCTCCTATCACTTTCTGTCTAAAGTGTCCTGTCAAATAAAGGATAAAATGCCCAAAAATAAAACTATTATTAATCATTTTGTGCCTGCCCTTGAAAGGGTGAAATATTCTTGAAAAATCACTTGGAAAAAAATAAAGGAATCTTTGCATTGAGAGTGACTTTGGTAATACATTGTTTTATAGTAAACATACTAGAGGAATTATTACCTTTAAATCAAAATTAAGATATGACCCTTACCAAGAGGAGGATACTCAGAGAAACTCTCCACACACATGGGTTTGCCTGGTATCATATCTACAATAGCAGCATCCCCAGACTTCAGGGACTTGGGATTATCTTCAAGCTTCTTCCCAGAGCGACGGTCAATCTTCTCCTTTAACTCGGCAAACTTACAGGCAATATGAGCAGTGTGGCAGTCGAGAACTGGGGCATAACCAGCACTGATCTGACCTGGATGGTTCAGAATGATCACCTGACCAGAGCAGAAAGTGGACAAGTGAATAGTTTGTAATGACAAACACCATCTGAATAAAAGTGCAGTTTAAAAAGATAAACCCTAACAGGCATATTCAGAACTCCCTCTGGGCAAAAAGGATATCATGAATTGTGTCAGTAGGCTTTGTAATTGAAACCCTATAAAAACACATATAGCTAAGATCTTTACCTGAGCTGTGAAACTCGCCGCCTCCTGTGGAGGATCGTTCTTGCTGTCACCTGCAACATTCCCACGTCGGATATCTTTGACTGAGACATTCTTCACATTAAATCCCACATTATCGCCTGGAAGAGCTTCAGATAGAGCCTCGTGATGCATCTCCACAGATTTGACCTCAGTGGTCACGTTCACGGGTGCAAATGTCACAACTAGACCAGGTTTCAGAATACCTGTCTCTACACGTCCCACAGGCACAGTACCAATTCCTACACAGAAAGAGTGCAAAGGTAAAAGAGGGATGTTTGTTGGTATTATTTACTGGAAATATCAGTCTTTGTGATGTTAGTTATTTAATTTCCTTGGGATTATCATACTTAAAGGTGATGTGTATAATACTTTCTCCAATCCCATCCTTATATACATAGAAAACTATAAGTCATTCATAGGTCACACATCTTTACAAGAAAAAGATTAGCTATAATGTGCATAATTATGATCTTAAAGTTTATTTTAAACAAGTGTTATTATTGAGACCCTTTTTAAGTTTGGGTGTCCTAAATACCTCCGATTTTGTACACATCCTGCAGCGGGAGTCGGAGGGGTTTGTCAGTGGGGCGGGTTGGAGACTGAATGGCATCCAGAGCCTCCAATAGAGTCGTCCCAGAGCCACTCCCATCCTTACGAGTGATCTTCCAGCCCTTGAACCAGGTCATCTACAGACAACCAAAAAAAATCTTACTGACCCCTCCATTGTTTCCTTAAGAGCTTCCAAATGTTCAATACCTGCTATTAATAATGAATACTAATTATTAATAGCAGGTATTGAACATTTGGAAGCTCTCAGGAAACAATGGAGGGGTCAGTAAGATTTTTTTTTAAAGAAATTAATGCTTTTAATCAGCAAGGCTGCATTCAATTGATCAAGAGTGACAGTAAAGACATTTATAATATTACAAAATATGTCTATTTCAAATAAATGCTGTTCTTTTGAACCTTTTATTCAGCAAAGAATCCTGTAAAACGCATCACATTTTCCACAAAAATATTAAACAGCTTTCAACAGTTTTCATAATTGATCAAAATATGTTTTTTTCTTGAGCACCAAATCAATGAATAAATGTATTATGTAAATGTAGATCAGCATATTAGTATGATTTCTGAAGGATCATGTGGCACTGAAGACTGAAGGAGTAATGGCTTCTGAAAATGTAGCTTTGCCATCACAGGAATAAAAAATATGACGGTTTTACTGTTTTTGATCAAGTAAATACAGCCTTAGTGAGCACACATATTTCAAAAACAATAAAAAATCGTACTGACTCATAATGTTTTAATGGTTGTGTATATTGTGAATGCATAGCATGCAGTAATGCATATAATATTAAATCTACAAATAACATAAGTATAATAAATAAGAGGTTGGCTTGCAAATGACTAAATTATGCCAGTGATATTAATTAATTTCTAAAACTATTGAGTCTATTGATAATATGAAAGATATACATCTTTATGTGATATAACACTAACATTTGGGCTGGCCTCCAGCATGTTATCCCCATTCCATCCGGAGATTGGCACAAATGCCACTGTGTCGGGGTTGTAGCCGATTTTCTTGATATAAGTGCTGACTTCTTTCACAATCTCCTCATAGCGCTTCTGGCTGTAATTGGGTTCCGTAGAGTCCATCTTGTTGACACCCACGATCAGTTGTTTGACGCCCAGGGTGTACGCCAGCAAGGCATGCTCACGTGTTTGTCCGTTCTTTGAGATGCCAGCCTCAAATTCACCAACGCCAGCTGCCACGATCAACACAGCACAGTCTGCCTGTATCAAGAGAAATGAAAGGTTATTAATACTTTGATGGAATAAACTTTTTGGTGTGATACATTTTTTTTATGTGATAATGAAAACCTGTGAGGTGCCAGTGATCATGTTCTTAATAAAGTCTCTGTGTCCTGGAGCATCAATGATGGTGACATAGTACTTGCTGGTCTCAAACTTCCACAGGGAGATGTCGATGGTGATCCCTCTCTCTCTCTCAGCTTTGAGTTTGTCAAGGACCCAAGCATACTAAAAGGAGCCTTTTCCCATCTATAAAAGGTGAGGACAAATATAAGTTTAGAGAAAGATCTGTTACTGAATTTCTTGAACGAATTGCCTCTGTCACACAAGTGCACAATGCAACAGTTATTTTCAGTCCTCCAATTTGATAGGTCAAACTGTGTTCCAACAGCACAGTTATGTCAATATTTGTATCACTTCACTGGTTGTTTATGGTATTCCAGACCAGAGTAGCCTATGGAAGTGGAGCAAAAATGAAAGTGGAATGGGAAGCAAAGTTGTGCCATTTTGCCTGGAAATTTGATACTACTAAATTTTGTTAAAGTCCATTTTGTTAAAGTCCCTCTGTGTTAAAAATCAAGCTTTTATGTTATTTATATGTCTTTGTGGCATTTTAATATGCTTTAAGACAAACCATGTGCAAATTCATAAGTCAACACCATTACTGAGTATTTTCTCCTTAAAACTGCGGTGAACCAAAGAGTCTAAAAACGCTGTTTGAAATCACTGGTGTTTTGGTGTTTTTGACATCACAAACTACCTTGTTAACGAGTCAACATGTGATCGTCGACTAGTGGATCTCTGAGCTGGTGTGAGTGAGAGGAGGCGGGGCTAATTTGTATATTCATAGAACCGCGCATACTAAATGAGGCAAGGATGTAGAGTTCCATTCAAGCTATTTTGAGGCATGAATATTTTTATTTTTTTTTCAGGGAAAAAACGCTTAAATATGTCATTTTGGTGATCAAAGACGAGTTTTAAGGGATACAATCATTGACTACAGGGGGACTTTAAGAAAGAAGCTTTTTGTCTCAGTGATTTATCCATACATTGAAAGTCAATGGTGTCCAGTGTTGTTTTGGACCTTGCTGACTTTCATTGTTTGTACAAAAACAGTTCTTCATTCTTCAAAATATCTATTTTTTTGTTCCACTGAAGAAAGTCATAGTGGTGAATACATGATGACAGAATATTATATTTAAGTGAATTATCATTTTAGGTTATTGGATCTTAACTTATTGTTCATAGAATTGATTATAAAGCAAACTTACACTCAAAATCTGTGATTAATGCTGATTAATGCACTCTTGCTTGTTTGACATTGCTTGAGTCATATTTTACACAGTGGGCCTCTTTGAATAATTATATACATGTGATAACACAGCGACGAATTGTAGCTATATTTATTTGGACTGCCAATACCTCTGCAGCTTCCTTCTCAAACTTCTCAATGGTCCTCTTGTCGATGCCTCCACACTTGTAAATGAGGTGGCCTGTGGTGGTGGACTTTCCTGAGTCCACATGGCCAATGACCACGATGTTGATATGGAGCTTCTCCTTGCCCATCACTGGGCTCTCGTTGGGTTACAGGCAGCCTGCAACATGAAAAGGGAAACTAAATAATTAATCATACAAATAAGTTATTTATGGGCCAATTGCGCTCAGATGTACTGCAACAACCACATAATAGCACTATACTTTTGCATATTTTGTTAACTCTTCTTTATTCAGTTAGTTTACAATAGGTCAAATCAATATTTGCCTGAAAGTTATTTATAAAGTTATGAAAATTATTATTTTTTATAGCGATAAGCCAACTATCAGTGGTTTCATTGTCATATTAAAAGCAAACACTGAACAATAAGCTACATTTACAGACTCGCCACTCGATATAAACTCATGATACCTCATCATCATCATTGCACTGGAAAGTTAATCTCTCATAATATTTTGGATGTAGTTATATATAAAGGGTTATATAAATGTGCCCTTTGATATTGAAATGAATCTAGTAGAGAGTATATAAATGCTGTTAGTACTATGACCTCTAAAATAATAACATTTTATGAATTAGGCTATACAATTCCTAACTTAAACTAATTAATATTTTAAATCACCCGTCTGCAACTTTTGACCTAAATTATTAAAGTTCTTGAGATAAATCGGCTAATGTCACAGTATCCTTGAAAGCTTGTCCATGTTTTTCCCAGTGTTGTCTGGGTTACAGCAGAACGGGTCACCTGGCGTATGCGGCAAAATGTGACTTTTGACTAAATAAAAATATTGTATTTCATACAATTTTAAGAACTTTTTTCTTATATGATCTTTATTTGAATAATAATTCATAATCATTCCGTTATTCACCTCATACCGAGCAAATATGACATGGTAATGTCAATTCATGTACAGTAGCCTATGTCACAGCAAGAAAAGCGTGTGGCCTGATAGCTTGCCAAAGAGCAGAGATGGGACTGGAGAATAAAAGGATATAATGTAGTTTCCACAGCAGACCCTGTCAGTTGCATCAGCGCCATGTTCCGTATATGTCCTTACTAGAAATAAAACTCAAATAGGCTACAGCACATCATGCATTCGCAATACCCAATAAACCATTCGACCGTTAGCTCCATCGGCAAGCGTTAATGTATAGAGAAAACGTAGAGAGGGTGTGTTTTTCAGGTGTCCAACCTTGGAGAGGTGCGCCTGTAGTCCAGAGCAAGAGTCGCGTATGCATATCAGATACTGCTGCTGCCTAGGTGCCGCTGATGTCGTGAAAGGAAGTTTCTAGCTGTTCCACTAGAGGGAGCTGTCGAACAGCACATATAGCCTACAATAACCGCGTGTGTATTTGGGTTTTCGATGTGTTAAAGGAATAATTCACCCAAAAATGAAAATTCTGTCATCATTTACTCACCCTCAACAAGTTGTTCCAAATCTGTATGAATGTCTGCTGAACACAAAAGAAGATTTTTTTTTTTTTTTAAGAATATGTGTCCCATTGACTTCCATAGGAAAACTATTTGGTTACTGACATTCTTCAAAATATCTTCTTTTGTGTTCAGCAGAAGAAAAAAATTCATATAAGGTTTGGAACAACTTGAGGGTGAATAAATGATGACATAATTTTCATTTTTGTGAGAACTATCCCTTTAACTTTAGCATGAGGTAGTTTCTTTAGCTTTTTTTAAGATCATATTGGAACTGTTTTGGATTATTACATCAATTATTTGGCTATATTTTACTTTTTTATGAATATAAATTATTAGTTAATTGTCTTGTCCCCAATTTCTCAATCTTAAAATAAGTAAAATAAATAATATGATATAAATCAAAAGTATGATATATATCACCTCTTCACATGGTAAGGGAGAAATTTCAAATTACAATAAATAGACTAAATAAGTAAGTAAGTAAATAAATAAATAAATAAAGATGATGCAACACCTGTCAGCATCCATGATTAATTGACCTCACTTTGTGTTTGCTGAAATAAGTGATTTCACTTGAAATCCTCCCCATACCAGGCAGACATTAAAAAGTGTGTTGCATTAAAGGGATAGTTCACCCAAAAAAATGAAAATGTTGTCATTATTTAGCCTATCACCCTCATGTTGTTCCCAACTTCCATAGTATTTTTTCCTTCTATGAAAGTCAATGGGGTCCATCAACTGTCTGGTTACCAACATTCTTTAAATGAGTTTGGAACAACTTGAGGGTGAATAAGGTGAATTTTTAGGTGAACTTTCCCTTTAAAACCCCTTAAGTGTCACGGGCCCACCGGTGGGCCCAAATCCATTACATTTTTAAAACAGTAATATCATATACTAAACCTAAACTAATCTTGACAAACTATATATCATTTGAAAGCTTATAATCTCTAGTTTCCATATTTGGTGATTGATTTTCAAAATAAATTACAGAGGAGCCGCAATTTATCAATTTGCAACAAGAATATTTTTATACTCCTGTTCAGACCTTTATTTTGAAATAGCAATGAACATGAAAAATCATGAAAGAAGGGTAGAAACCTCAGTTTGTTTTCATGCCAAGAGTTCAAAAGATAGCATCCATTCAATTATTTTAGAAAAAAAGGTCTGAATTTTTTTTTAAATATAAAGAAAAAAATTATATGATGTGGCAGGAAGCTAAAACGCACATGCGTGTTCTTTTCTTCTCAAAATCTGCCAAACTTCTCATATTACTTCTGAATAGGATGTCTACTTCATAAATTGTATGAAAATTGTGGAAATAATGGTTCATATCACTCAAAACACATTTGGAAATGGAGGTGCCCTTATATGGGCAGTAATGGAGTCTGGTTGTCATCTAGTGAAAAAGTTTGGTACTGTGCCCAAACAAAATCTTACTGAAAGCTCATTTTTTTAGATACCAACCTAAAATTTTAAACACAACTTGTTCAGATTCTTGGCTTTGATTTTTTTTGCAGTTTTAGAGTCGCCCGGGTTTTGAAAATATATATTTTATATAAAATATGGATAATTAAATTTTTTACATTGTGCATTTTCATAAACTCAAACTTCTATAACTTTTTTTCTGTTTCACTTTCTTAATTTATTTCACTTCTACAAAAACTTCTTTAAAACAAGACCAATCTTACGTCTATATTCCAAAGCATTCTTGAATTACAACCATTTAAGTTTGAAATGTGCATTTTCATGTATATTCAAAAAAAGGGGGGTGACACTTAAAGGGTTTTAAGTAGGTCTATTATTTTTCACTTAAATAAAGTGTAATCAAATGTGCCCTTATATCAATGCTATTTAAATTTGTTTAATTAGAAATCTAGTCTAGCCTATTGCCCCTCCCTTCAGCTTTACTTGGGCTATACAAGAATTATATGGCCTTTAAATACTCTGAAAAAATTGGATGCTGTTTATCATGCTGCTTTACGATTTGTGACTGGTTCAAGTGTGCGTACACATCACTGTAACTTATATAAATTGACAAATTGGACTTCACTGAACTTGAAGAGGAAAAATCATATGTTAATCTTTATTTTAAAAGCTTTACTGGGTAAATTACCATTGTATATATCTAGTTCATTGACTTACTGTACTAGTATTTATAATACTAGATCAAACGTCAAACTTTTACTTAAGATTCCAAATTTCCAAACAGAGTTAGGTAGATCAGCCTTTTCTAATTACGCTCCTTATGTATGGAATGAACTTCAGGGTATATCATATATGAAATATTTACCATCTTTAGCTTCATTTAAAACCCTTTTAAAGTCTGTTTTCATAGAACGGTGTAAATGTTTTAACAGTTGATTAGGATTAATATTGCTTCTCAGATATGGGTACTCTTGTTTTGTAGTTATGTTGTGGCATATTACTTTGTATTCTTGTTTGTGCTGCCTATCTTGACCAGGACTCCCTGGTAGAAGAGATATTGTATCTCAATGGGACCTTCCTGGTAAAAATAAAATAAAAAAAATATGGTATTTGATATAATGAAGATGACCATAAGCCAAAGCCGCTGTGGTACAACTATGTAAACATACACTCATTGTTTGATGAGTGTTTGGTACTGTTATCATTATTATTGCTTGTTTAATCATCTTCCCACAGTTGTTATTACACAAAGTGACTCGAGCCAGTAAATAATGTAATTTACAAATGGAATCCCACTGTACCTGCCAGTAACTTTCCAAGAGCCCTGAATGTCAGCCTGAGATGAAAAACAATCAAAGTGTTCATCTGCGAACATGTCTCTGGCTAGGGCCTTAAAAACAGACAAGCAAAAGCTTAAAAACAAAAGCAATATGCTTAGATAAACTGTGCACTATAATGGAGACTTACTTGTCTGAGTCTGAGAGCTTTTACAGCACAACAGTTTTGCATAAGCAACAGGAAAAACACCCAGGTCACATATTTAGATTTATTGTCTTTGTTTTCTAAAACTTTAAGATATGATTCTACAAGCCTGTCTTTTGTAAATAAAATAGACTAAATATAGCTTTAAGTGGGAGTCTTCATTGTTATCAGTGTTATGTGCGTGATTAATTATGAACAAATTGTAGCAGGCCAAAACTTTAAGTTCTAAATTAAGAGTTGTAAATAGATCACCATCTGTGTCTCTATAGTGTCATCACTCCTCGGATCTCTCAGAACAGCTTACTATATAAAGTCCTTCATATATATCCAGCGCATACATCTGATACATGGAGCTGAGAGTAATGAAATGTGAGATTCCATGGTTAACTTTAAATGTTATCTCAATGTATTCATTAACCAACTCCCCCATATCTATAATTGTCTCAATAAATATTTTGAGATTTCATTGTGTGGGCTGGTTGTCTATACAGAGATAAATACAGAGATAACGCCTATTGTTAGACTGGGATGGTTTATGAAAGAATTCCTGTTGAAACTTCAGTCCAAGACCAAGGTTTATTTATATCCCTAATGAGGTCAGAGAAACTCTTACAGCCATTGACATATGCTTGCATGTACAATATACATCAATTCATCGCTGTTGAAAAAATGCAACAGAAAAACAGAGGTGTCCCATTTTTTATATCAGAACCATGTGTTCCCACTGATTCAGTATAATTAAATATGTCCATCAACAATGTGAGTTTTTTTTTTTTTATATCATCCCTCATTTGCTTCGAACAAGATTCTTTAATTGTGAAGATGCAGAACATTCAAGCAACAGTTCATTTCTTTATAAATGCGTGAACTGTATTGTACTTCAGTTCTAGCTAATTTTATCGAATCTCTATTTCGTTCTCTCATCCTTGCTGCCTCTATGATTGGGTGATATTTTTATAAATCTAGGTCCTGAGGCCACCTGGGGAAAACAGCACCAAATTCAGGCCATGTAACAAACCCGGGCCATGCAGGCAAAAAAGGAATTTGACGATGATGCGTCATATCATCACAACGAACTTTCCACAAACAGAAAGGCTAAAGACACCTGTTTCATTCATCAAATCTGGATTGAGATGTAAAGCTTTTTTTCCATTGGAAAGGAATATCAAAGATATGGTAAGTGTCCCTTTTTTCCTTTTGCTTCTGTTTTTTTTTTTTTTTTTTTTTTAAATAAAGGAATGCATCCGATTACATAACTGAAGTATTGTGGGTTTAGTTTTCAGACAGTTTTCTCATTGATGCTGGGAAAGGAAAACATCAGAGATCTCTAAGAATGAACCTCGTGACACAATTTTTTTCTCAGGATCAGCAGTTTGTTGCTATTTCTGAGGGACCCAGGACCCTGGAAAATGTTTATTTTACATCAGTAATCACCATGGAGTTTTAAATGGAACTGCATGCTTCAGTTATGCTGATTGTGAACAGCGGATCAGCAGAGATAATCTACTTTCAATATGTAGTTACAAAATGCCATCTGTTAGAGGCTTCATATGGTCACACATTACACTGTAATTTACAATGGAACACAGTTCACACCAAGACAAACAGAATGAGACAAAATGTCTAGAGCAAAATGGTTGATCATAAATCCTCACGTCATTTTATTGGCAGTTTACAGTGTCAGAAGTGAACAGTGTTTTTGCCTGGTTCTCTTTTTTTTTGCATTATGCTCAGATTTGTTTGTGTTAATGACATTTATCTGCAATGCTGTTTCAATCCTTCACTCATCCTTTACTATAGCTCATTTTCTTTTCCTTTGTCCTCTGCTCCACTCATCTCATCTCAGAAGCACTGAAATGGTGACCTACTTGTAATTGTCAGGGAGATTAAACTCAGATATGGCTGCTATGTCCCCGAAAATGCTGGTGCACTGGAACCAGTTTGATGATTTGAGATCCCATAGGCGTATTTCTTTGTTTTGAAAAGGGATTTTAAAAAATATGTATATATGTATTAAAAGAGAAAATTTGGATTTTACCTTCAAACTATTATTATTTTTATTTTATTTTATTCTTCACTCAGGGAGGATTATGGTGTCGTTTTAAAATCAGTGTCTCTTTAATACATTTCGAAGAACGGTTCCTATACAATTTACCAAATGTATTTATTTATTTTTTGTCATTTTTTTAAATATGTATTGTCTATAATAGGCTACATTAGCCCCTAGTACTTATCTGGATTTAGCTGTTACTTTATGGATGAGATTACTGACTTTCCCACGGTTGTCCAAGTAGTTTTTTCTCTCTGCCACTCCGTGCGCGTGCTTGCCTGACTCGCGAGCTCCGGAAAGAAGCAGCGGGTATGACGCTGAAGGAGGGAGCGCGCATGTCGGGATAAGGTTTGTTGAGCTGGTTACATACACGGAGAAAGACATGTTTCGAAGAAAAGAACGACGACGTCTAACAAGTTTGTGATTGTTTGGGCTTTGGTTTCTCAGTTCTTCCTTAAGTCGGAATGAATGAAGTTCAGGTAGGTTTAAAGTCGTTTATCCGCTAGTGTTGTTTTCAAAAATGTAAAGATAAACTTCATTACTTAGCCTACAGAAACTTAAACTTAAATTAGAATTAAAGTCGGTTACAGCAGTCAATAGGAACAGATCGACTGTCAAAAAAGAGGGAGACATGATATGATTTGGACACCTGCTACCAGTTATAGCCTTCAAAAAATAATAATTCAACATTTTAAGAATGTAAAAAGAAAAACCTGTCAATTGGTTAACGGTAAGCTTAAAATACTGTTTTGTATTATTTTAATATGTACATTTTTTGGAAATGAACTATGAACAATTTACAGACAAATAGTTAAGCTATGTTTTGGTAAAAAAAAGTATGAATCGCCTTGGTAACATGAAAAAAAAGTGAATTCTTAGAATTCCTTACATGAACCATTAACCTACTACATTTGTTTATATATTTTGTTTATTATTGTGTTATCAAGTACAGTATGTAGTGTTTATGTTAGATTTCATGTTATTTACCTAATGTTAAGAGCAGTTTAGTGTCTTACCCTGATGGTGTTTTTGTGGATATAAGTGTCTTTTGTCATGTTAGTAATGGCCAAAATTGCAGAAGAGGTCCCATCTTGGCTATTTTCAGTACATTTTACAATATCAAAATATTTTATTAGATCATTTAGATATAGGTATATTACACTTATACAGTTTCTTGCAACCACTGCTGGCATTTTTCAGTAAATTTAACAAAATATGTTCAGTGCAACATGAAAGCATTTGAGAGTTAATATTGAATCATGCATTTACACAAAACACTGATATAAATAGTGTATAAAATACACATTTGGGTAAATGTATTGAGAAAAGAGATAATTGGTTGATTTAAAATACAGACTGACAGGTTTCTTGATTTTTCTCTGCTGTAGGTAAGAGCGATTGGCACTGTGTCAGTCACTCGGCAACATCTGTGTCTGCAATCTCAGCAAGTGTGAATGAGGACGTACTATGCACCTGGATATACACTGTTTTTTTAGTCCCAGTTTTATCGATTTTACGTACTGAAATCTTCAAATCTGTTCTTTTTATCTGTGATCATGATTAAAAGTGAAAACAAAAGTGAACGGGCACTGAGAAGTGCATCTCCTCACAGGAACGCCTATAAGTCAGACTTCCATTCCATCAAATGCTCATTTGATGGGAGCGCATCAATCAGCTCGACTTCTCCCTTCTCTTGTGGAGGCAATGAGACCCGTGGCAGACCGTCGGGCGACAAAGTGAGCAAAATAAAAAATATGTTCTTGCAAATGGATGAAAAACAGAACCAAGACAGTCCCAATTTCAACAAACCCACATCACCCAAATTTCCACTGGATTCCACCCCTTACAGATCCAGCCTGAGTAGCGTTTCCAGTCTAGATTCAGCCTCCTTTGATGCACGGAAAACAGAGGATGTTTCCATTGACAAGGCAGCAATGGCTGAGAAGTTCTCAATGACCAGAAAGCTGTTTGAGAGTGGCCTTAAAGAGCAATCTCCAACGGAGAGATCTGCCTCTGTTAAAGTTATCTGGTCCCAACCATTTGAGAGACAAGATAGGAAAGTGTCAGTTACTGGAGAGAGAAAGGACAAACCTAAAGAGCTAGAGGGACAGGCAAAAGAAAGGGAGTATGAGGAAAAAGGGAGAAGCGAAAGTGAAACACCATCACATAAGTTGTGTGTGTCCATGAATGCCGGGCCAATATCAAGGCGTCTGGAGAGTTTTATGTTGGACAGTGATAGTGAGTCGCTGTCAGCTGCTCCCTCAACTGAATCCCACAGTCCCATCAGCCATTCCCAGTCACCCTCTGCTACTAGTGACCATTCTGATCCCCCTTCATCACCAGACAACTGTAGTTCCCCTACCTCTTATTCACTATGGACTGATTCTCTGGCTGAAACATGTTTGCCCAAGTTAAATGGTTCAGATTCACACAGTACCTCTTTAAATGGAGTCTGTACGGAGAAGACATTACTTAATACTAGTTCCACAGCAAAAGAACATATTAATGATTCTTCAGAAGATAGCGTCTCCTCAGATCCCACTCTTCTGTATACAAGCGAAAAGATCCACCACTCGTCTACAAGGAGTACCACTAGTCATGGATCTGTAGCAGAGGATCCTGCACATCAACAACAGCAAGTTGAAGGTAATAACTCTGAGAAGGTTTCTGGTTTGTCCACAGTCAGAGCTGAGCTGGTAGTGGTGAAGACTGAATCATCCGAGAGTGAAGGCAATGAGGAGGAACATGTTGAGGATGATGTTTTTGAAGAGGCTGGAAAGGAGAACCAATCCCCAAATCACAACTCTGGGAGGGTGTTGACCGACAACGAGGAGCTCCAATTAACATTCCTTGTGAAGGAATCAAAACAGAGCGTTAAGGAACATGAGGAGGGATGGAGGGCGGGTGAAGAATCTGTACAGACTGGAAGAAAGGAAGACCATAGAGGGGAGGGAAAGTTTCTTGAGGAGAACATAATGGAAAAAGAGGAGGAGGAAAAAAACGAGGAGGAGGATGAGGAAAAAGACAACAAGGAAATAGAACTAAAGACACGCCGAACTGAAGAGGGGCCCGTACTGGAGACTGTTATGAAGGAAAGTGAGCAGAAAGCTATTGATGTTGAAGATAAGGAACAGCAGGATGAACAGAGGAAAGGAGAGGATGAAGGAGTAGAAGCTGTTGAAGCTATAGAGGAGGACAATGATGAACAAGATATGGAATATGACGTCTTATCAGGAAAAGAGAGGCAACAGCAAGATGATCAGTGCTTGATGGGGAAAAGATCTTCAATTTGTGGTATTGAGAATGCAGCCTTTGTGGATGACAAGGACAACAGGACCGATTTGGAATGTCAAGTGAAGGAGGAATCCCAGGAATTTGAAGAACTTCCAGGGCTCTCTGATGAGGAAGACCTCAGTCCAAAGAGAAAGATCAAGTTCTCTACAGCACCGATCAAGGTACAGTATGTCTCAACTAGTCTTACTATTTGGTATAAACCTATCAATTAAATAGTTTAAAGTACTTCAAATTATTTTTTTATTCAGCTTTAGCATTTTTTTGTTGTTGTTGGTTTGTACTCCCTCTGAAATGGTTTAGAATGGTTTTGTTAAGGCTTGAAGGAATTAGCCTGCCAGCAGTAACCCAAATCTGTTTGCACATTTACCAGATGCCCGTGGCTCAATTCGGTCACCACCTTAACTCTTAATTTTATGAAGCATTCTTATGGTGGTACTATTGCAGCTATTATTCAAGGTTTATATGACAAGATCCTACTTGTTTGAAGGTATTTGGCACCCACGTCTTTTATTTGTTTTGCCTCAAAATACAGGAAAACTTTATTTTTTAGCACGAGGAACATAGCATACCTGTCTGAGACAATTAAGAAATGATTCTTAATAATTGTGGCTTCACCAGTGGTTCTGGATTAGTGTAAAATATGTTCTACCTGGAACATTTAAGGTAACAGCTCTCAACAGAGGTCATGCCTGAGCTTGCATCAGTTCAGGCATGTAATATCCTATGCCTCTCGTGTACTAACAGACTTTTTTTTTAACAGAGAAATGTGTAAGGATTTAATTCGATATCTTAGAGGCTTTACCCCTGGCCTCTGTTGATATGACTCAAATATGAATCGTCATGTAACAGACAAACACGATTCTCCAAAACAGACGATTTACTGTAAAGGGATCACAACATATGTTTCCTCACTAAAGCTGTTCATAAAAACTGACTGTTGATTGAATTTAATATGTTAGCATACAAGTGAATGTAGCTATATATTGAGCTCAGCCTCAGAATGCACATTCACATAGTCAGATTCAAAAACAGACACTATCCAAAAATTGACAGTTCCAGTCTGATTGGTTGGTTTCTACACTATTTTCAACAGTCCAACTGTAAAAAAAAGAAGTTGTAGTTTACAAGGTATATGTTGATACAGTGAGTAGATAAATTAATCTCTCTGTATATTTGGTCTTTGTTTACAGAACAAATATCTTAACTTTCTTAAATCAAGAGATTAAGAGATCAAGAGAAGTTTATGCTCTAAACGAGAAAAAAAATATCATTGGGTAAGAAAACAGGTTTATTTTTCCTATCCCATTGGCAGATTGATTATGATAACTTTATTGTGCATCTTTTGTTTGAGGTGCTTAACAGATATTCACAAGCAGAACTATACATGTTTGTGAATCATGTCTGTGATTTATTTGTGTTAATTTTTAACAAATTCTACATATATTTCTACTAATTTATTCTGTGTTCTTCTAACTACTTTGACAATGCTATTCAAATTTGATTATTTAATTATTTGATTAATTAGTGTTAACTTTTTTCCCATTGTATTGTGTACACTATTTAAGATAAACCTGCCCTAAAAGCACATAAATACAAATCGTATAAAGTTTGTTGCTTTATATATCTTTTCTGGCCACAGGAGACTTGTGCTAGTAAGTACAGATTTTAATATTTTAGTCATATAACTGATCAAAGCAAAACACACAACTCTTTGATCTTCATCTGTCAGAGACCAGGCACTGGGTTGCATAAAACAGAAAGTGCATTGTGCTGTCATTCATATGTCTGACTTTGGGAAAGTGGAGTGCTTTAAAAGGATCCTGTTTAGGGACGGACAAGTCTTCTGTGTGTGCCTGTGTAACTTCTGTTCTGTGGAAGCTCATGCCTTTGCATTTTATTCAGAGTACAAATCTATTATACTGTTCATTTGTGAGAACAAATGAAAGAAAGACAAATTAAGTCTGTTACAGTGCAGTAGGTGGCAAAAGTCCATCGTTTTGCCCAAAAGACCAGTCAGTAACTATTGGCTGTATGTGTGCAATGGTGTTTCATTCCCTGTGGACTACAGTTGTTCTCAGCACTCTTAAAACATCTCTTAAGTTTGGAAACCAGGTCATGTATTTCTTCAGAGCCTCACAGACTGAAGATGCCATGGATTTATAGTCTGGGTCAGAACATCCCAAGTCAGTAACATTTCAGATTACCATAGCTCAATGTTCAATACTTCACTCTCTCCGACATCCCTTCCTCCTTGGTGTGCCCTCTTTGAGCATGTGGATTAGGTCAGTGTCAATTCGCTGTCAGTGTATTTATAGAAGTGGGAGGAGCAGCAGGTGGTAACTAAACATTTTGTCTTGCATTATGATGTGTTTTCTCTCTAAATCAGGAAGCAGAGGTCTCCCTATGTGTACATATCATAGTATTCCAACATTTTTGTTCCCTTCACCCTCAGGATGAGCCTGTTTCTTTATTTGTGGACCTCTTATGTTTACTCATCCTGTTTCCCATATATATAGGATCAGCAGGAAGTGAGTTGCCTGTCTCATATAGGTTGCAAATGAGGATTTCCTTTCAACAGATGTTTGTGTTGGACATCTTTTGGACTTTGAAACAATGTGCTTTGAATATTAGCTCATAAACTCATGGTTTGATCCCAGCTGTTCTAGACAAAATGTGTTGTCTTCACAATCCATCTTTAACCCAAAAATGCAGTTCCCTTTCGTTCAGTCACTGCGAGTTACGTCAGTGAATGACGAAATGGGGGTTTCGCTTAGAAGCCTATCACCTTCGAGTTCTATAAAACGAGTTAATGGTAAGGAAATGGCATGGGTCTGCGGAATTTTCATAGTGCAACTCCGCCCCACCGCGTGGGTATAAAAGGAGGGACGTTGGCAATCTCGCATTATGTTTTTGCTTCGGAGCCATGAGTTTCTCTTCACTCCTCTGCAAGCCTGTGTCTGAGATCTTCGACTACAAGATGATCTGCTCTCCAGTGTGTTGGTGCAACAGCGCGTTCCAGCGAGATCACATTGCCTGCTGCTGATCTGTGCAGTGATCTGCCAACAGTGTGTGTGCTTCTGCCTGGGCGCTTCTTCACTCTGCTGAGCTTTCTTCTTTCACAAAAGAGCTTGCGCGTCTTTTTCAAGATGTCTCGCCCGTGCACTTCTGGGTGCGGTCGGTCCGTTTTATCATCTGATGGGCACAATCGCTGTCTTGCGTGTCTGAACAAAGCCCCGACGATTTTTCAACAACCCGCAAGCGTGCAGAGTGAGATTGCTGGACACTCTTCGGACGTTCCTCATGTCTCAATCGGCGCTCCAGATGATGAGACGATGTCCATCGCCGCATCACAAGGTGGGCTGGAGTCTTCCGAAGATGAAGACTCGTCTGTGCTGCCGCCTTCGGGTGTGCCAGCATTGCCCGGAATTGAGTTCTCGCCCGCCCTGAAGCAGACTTAGGCCATCAAACATATTCTGCCCTGGCGTCCGGATTCTGCCCTGGCTGCCCTCAGATCCCCCAGTCTTCAGATCCCTCCTACGGCTCCCGCCCCTCCCGCCTGGCCCCAGCAGCAGCCTTCACCTGGGCCGCGCCGTGGAGGTGGCCGTAGAAAGGCGCCCCAGTCCGCTCCAGCCCCGCAGCCTGCCAAATGCCAGGCGAAACGGCGCTCCTGATGCGGACAGCTCAGAGATGGGCTGCAGTTCTTTCCAGGAGATGGTAGCAGGGCCACTCCTTCCCCCGGTGGAGGGCCGGGGGAGAATCTTTTGTTCTCCCAACCCTGCTGCTGGTCTCATGGCCGGCAGCACCCTAATGTGGTTAAAGAAAGAACTGACACCCCCATCTCTTAGCTCCCAGAGGGAGCTTCGCCTTGCCACTCTCGTCCCCCTCTGTCGCCAGACCCGTGTCAGAGCAGGGCCCCGCGGAACGTTCGTCCTTCCCTGGCCTGCTCTGTCAGGACGCGGCATATGACCGTGCCTCCACACCGGGACTGGACTGGACCCCAACTGGACCCCAACGCCTTTGGCATGTCAATTGCCTCGAGTTGCTGGCAGTACGTTTGGCTCTGCACCGCTTTAGGGCGTTGCTCAAGGACCAACACGTACTGGTCCGTTCAGATAACACTGCGACAGTGGCGTACATCAACCGACAAGGTGGTCTACGCTCCCGCCGTATGTCGTAACTCGCCCGCCATCTCCTCCTATGGAGTCAGAAGCATCTGAGGTCGCTTCGAGCCATTCACATCCCGGGAGAGCTGAATCGTGCAGCCGACGAGCTCTCACGTTTTCAGCCATCTTGCACAGGTCTTCTTGCACAGGTCCTGTACAAGATCAGGGAGGACGAGGAGCAGGTCCTTTTGGTTGCGCCTCATTGGCCCAATTCTCTGAACTGGTGCTCCTCATGACAGCACCTCCCTGGCCAATCCCTCTGAGGAAGGACCTATTTTCTCAGAGCCGGGTAACCCACGTCCCGATCTGTGGAACCTGCATGTGTGGGTTCTGGACGGGATGCGGCAGGTTTGAGTACCCTACCACCTCAGGTGATGGCTACCAGCACTTCTGCTAGGGCCTTGTCCACGAGACACGCCTAAAGTGGAACCTCTTCATCACCTGGTGTTCTTCTCGCCGAGAAGACCCCAGAAAATGCCTGATCGGGTCCGTGCTCTCCTTCCACCCTGAAGGTTTATGTGGCTGCGATCTTTGCGCTCCACGACCTTGTGGAGTCAAAAACGGTGGGACAGCATAACCTGGTCGTCAGGTTCCTGAGGGGGGCGAGACTAAATCCTCCTCGCTCTCCTCTTATACCCTCTTGGGACCTCGCAGTGGTCTTATCAGCCCTGCAGAGAGCCGTCCCTTTGAGCCGATCAGTGGAGCTTAAGTTCCTGTCTATGAAGACAGCGCTCCTGGTCGCCTTTGGCCTCCATCAAGAGGGTAGGGGACCTGCAGGCATTTTTGGTTGACGAAGCGTGCCTGGAATTCGGGCCGGCTAACTCTCACGTGATCCTGAGACCCCGGCCTGGATGCGTGCCCATAGTTCCCACCACTCTTTTCAGGGATCAGGTGGTGAACCTGCAAGCGCTGCCCTCGGAGGAGGCAGACCCAGCCTTTGCACTGCTCTGTCCAGTACGCGCCCTCCGTGCATACGTAGACAGAATGCAGTGTTTCAGGACCTCAGACCAGCTCTTTGTCTGTTATGGTGGGAAGCTGAAGGGAAAGGCTCTCTCCAAGCAAAGGTTATCTCACTGGATAGTGGACGCCATTGTCTTGGCTTACCAGACGCAGGGTCGTCCGTGCCCCCTAGGTGTGAAGGCACACTCCACCCGGAGTGTGGCTTCATCCTTGGCTCTAGCGCATTGCGCCTCACTAATAATTCATTACATTTATATAGCGCTTTTCTGGACACTCAAAGCGCTTTACATAGAAGGGGGGGAATCTCCTCAACCACCACCAATGTGCAGCATCCACCTGGATGATGCGACGGCAGCCATATTGCGCCAGAACGCTCACCACACACCAGCTTACTGGTGGAGAGGAGACAGTGATGAAGCCAATCAGTATATATGGGGATGATTAGGAGGCCATGATGGACAGAGGCCAAGGGGCAAATTTTGGCCAGGATGCCGGGGTTACACCCCTACTCTTTCGAAAGACATCCTGGGATTTTTAATGACCACAGTGAGTCAGGACCTCGGTTTAACGTCTCATCCGAAGGACGGTGCTCTTTGACAGTATAGTGTCCCCATCACTATACTGGGGTGTTAGGACCCACACAGACCACAGGGATAGCACCCCCTGCTGGCCTCACTAACACCTCTTCCAGCAGCAACCTGGTTTTCTCAGAAGGTCTCCCATCCAGGTACTGACCAGGCTCAGCCCTGCTTAGCTTCAGTGGGCAACCAGTCTTGGGCTATAGGGTGATATGGCTGCTGGCAATATCACCCTAATAGATGAGGAATTTGTCTACCCTAATAGACAAAACAGAGCCTAATAGACATCTGCAGAGCTGCAGGCTGGGCGACACCCAACAAATTTGCGAGATTCTATAATCTCCGAGTAGAGCCAGTGTCCTCACATGTACTTGCTTCCACTAGCCAGTGAGTAGGATCTGCTCGGGTTCATCGCTTGCTGCGCCATTCCACAGACTGCATACGTGGGACGTTACGTCCCTCTGCCACAACCGCTGTACCGCTGGAATAGCCTGGAGTTCAGTCTTGGCTCCTCAGCGGGAAAACATAATGCGAGATTGCCAGCGTCCCTCCTTTTATACCCACGCGGTGGGGCAGAGTTGCGCTATGCAAATTCCGCAGACCCATGGCATTTCCTTGCCATTGGCTCGTTTTGTAGAACTCAAAGGTGATAGGCTTCTAAGTCATTCACTGACGTAACGTCTCCGTTCCCTCCTCAGGGAACAAGGGTTACATACGTAACCGAGAAGATTCTTTTTCACCCAAAAAAAAGAAAATTCTTTAATCATTTACTACGTTTCAAAGCTGTATGTTTGTTTTTTTCCTGTGGAACATAAGAGAGAAATTTTGAGAAATGTCTCATCATTTTGTGTGTGTCTGTGTTTTGTTTTGTTGTCCATATAATGTAAGTTTTATTGCACACCAACTTGTTAACAACCATTTTTTAATGCTGCCAATGAATCAGTTTCCTAATTAGAACAGATTTATTCTGTAAGAGTTCTGATAATATTTCTTGATCATACTGCTTTTATGTCATTCCAACTCTGTCTTTCAGTTTTGACGCTCAACCTGAATGGTGTTACATCTGTTGTTTCTTTCTTATTGTAAGTCATAGTTCCCTGACAGTCTCTCTCAGTCTCAGGAAGAAATAGTCCTGTGTTCTTGCTAAAAAGCCACAGCTTAAAGGAGTGAGAGAGGGAGGGAGGGAGATAGAAAGAGACACTGTGCTTGAGCATGTTGGGGAAGAAAAGGACATTGTTCAGAGGTGCACGCTTACTCCATGACAACTAGAGACGCTAGACAAAAGAAAGTAGAGAAAATAAATGAAAGAAAAGGAAGAATGGGATTGTGGTATAGGAAGAAAGATTGGGTAAAGGATGGGTGGTGGAAGAAAAAGTGAAATGGTACAAGAAAAGAAAAATGGAGAGGGAATACTGTTACTTTGCTGTGTATAATTGATTCAGAGGCAGTGTTTTCCTTCTTTTTAATTCTGCTGCTGTACTAAGTCTGGTGCCAGTATTAGAAATGCATACCATTGACTGACCTGCTTTTTAACTGCCTATATGTCAGCCTAAACCAGCCACTAAACTTCTGTGAACATGTCATTGAGGATTGAGCTATAGTGCCTTCATAAAGGTGTGGTCACATTTGCCTTTGTACAGTGAAATACTGCAAGTGGAATGCAGTCATCTCAATAGGAATCTGTCCAATCAGGAATTTTGCGCAAAGTTAAACAATTCCTCATGCAGTATAGCATGTGTAGCATCCCCAATGTGTAGCATGTTTTTTTTTTTTTTTGTTATGAAGTTTTGGTCACTAATTTATTTTGCATGTGATTACAAAGATAGAGAGCTGTGCGATAGGGCTGTGCAATTAATCAAAATCGTAATAAAGTGGCTACATGAGCATACACGATTTCTAAAGTTTAGAAAGCATGTTATGACAAAACCTGTGGACTACAAAAACAACCCGAGGCAACAGTGTAAAAGTAGCCCAATTCCGCGGGAAAACTGTTGACTTGGCAACACTGGACTTGGCCAAAAAAAAATCCACATCTGTGTTTTGGGAATATTTTGGATACAGGAGAGATGAAGTATCATAGAGCCAGGTAATTTGCGAGACCTGCAAACTATCGTTGCGGCAAAAAAGATAAGGGGCCATTTACACAGAACAGATTTTTGTGGTTAAAAACACGAGATACAGGTCTAGAGATGCTTTTATCTCGGGGGCCTGCTTAGAAAACCTGTTTGGTTTAAGACGTCCGTCTAGTGCGTTTACATAAAAAAACAATGGCACATTCCGAACCAGGTGAACAAAAATGTATAATACAGGGATTTGCGAACAGCACAACCGACGCCGTCACATATCATTGGAAGTGCCCGCAAATATTGTCAATAAAGCCGGCTTCCAAAACAATTATACAGACAATTATGTGTGTACGGCAGTGTGTCCGAACCACTGTGCAGCATCAGGTGTGCCGTGGAAAATTATAAAATTCCCAAAAATAAGTAAAAATAAATGCTACGAATAAGAATATAACATCGCTGTTGGGCCGAAACCTCATATCTCTACATTTCAACATTTTTGTTTTATAAAATCAATGCTATTTCGAAAGAAAACAGGTTCCCCAAATCGTAAGCTACTACGCAATGTCGAGAGACGAACTCGAAAGGGAACCACAATTTCAACGACACAGTGTTTCATTTTTTTAAAGATATGTGGTTTCCGCCCGACAAGGACGATATGTAAATTTGTTGTTTTATCATCACCAACAACAACATCATAGCTACCTACAGTATATGACTTTATTGTGTTCCTACCTGACTTAGGCTCAAGTTTCACATTAAATGTGAGTACTACTTTTAATATAACATCTAGTTTTAAACTTTGATTTAAAGCAATGCATGTTAGTGCAAGTATGTCTTATTTTTATATAGTGGTGTGCCGTGGCAAAAAAAAAAAAAAGGTTGGGAAACACTGGTGTAATGAATTAATGTTTCAAAATCGTGATTGAAATGGATATCGGAACAGATCTTTTCAAAGAAATGTTTGGTCAAGTTCACGAAACTGCTCTGAATGATTTGTTCACAGATCAGATAGACTCAGTTCTTGAGTTCAGCTCAATGAATGGTTATTCCAGTCTTAGCTGTTAACAGCTCACTGAAGAGAAAGATAAACAGTGAGTAATGGCTTGAATTTCAGTCTGTTCTGATCTCTTTTGAAGACTTGGCACATAGAGCAGGAGTCATATGGACAACTTTTGTGGTGTTTTCATGTATGTTTTGAAGCTTGAATGCCTCATTCCGTATTCATAAGTATGGGCCAAATTGCTAAATTATGCTACCTTCACATGCTATCGGAATTAGCGTAAATATGATATTCCTAGTAGGAAATTAGACATGAATGCCCTCTCAAGTCGTGAGATTCATTTCATGAATGCCCTCTCAAATTTACTTCTAGGAAACTCCGAGATCATTTTGAGTTTGCAAGTTGGGCATGCCATAAACTTTAAACCACAATAGCTACATCGACTTGTCTTTCTGTTAAAGTAGTGCATATTTTCATAACCTTTTGAAGCATATTGTATGTTTTATACACAGCAGATTCCAGAATTCCAGACAATTCCAGAATTGTCAGTAAGCTGAATATCTAGGCCTATACAGCAATTTATGGTTGTCAACAAATGGGACACTTAATATAATTTTGGCTTCAAAATGATGTCCTCAATAATTAAGCAAAAATATACCTGGTGCCCTCTATGATTCCTGTTCTTTCCAACAACAAAGCAATTAAACGCGGCAAGCTCATAATCACGATAGCATGTAAAGGCAGCATTAACATGTAAAAGTGGGCAGTCATTAACAGGAAGATTTATGAAGATTTTCACAAATTATCTGGGTGGACTTTTTCTTATCAGAACATAGTGTTACATCGACATAAATTGTGAAATCAATAAATCACTGATTCATGTATTCAATCAGATGTGGGTGTGCATAGGTGTGGTATTTAATTGTTTTTGCTCTTTCGCAGGTGTACTTTACCTTCTCTAATGAAGATTATGATCGCAGTAATGATGATGTGGACCCTGTGTCTGCATCTGCTGAATACGAGCTGGAAAAGAGGGTTGAAAAGATGGATGTTTTACCTATAGACATTCAAAAAGGTTTCATTTACACTTTTATCCAAAAATGTGTTCCTGAATATACTGTCAAAACTTGCATGAGTACTGTATTTTGAGCTGCCTTTTTGTGTGTGTGTGTAGGTAATGATGGCCTAGGAATCAGTATTATTGGGATGGGGGTTGGGGCAGATCAAGGACTAGAGAAGCTGGGCATTTTTGTGAAAACCATCACAGAGGGAGGTGCAGCTCACAGGGATGGACGGTAAGAACTTGTCATATGAATTTCACTTTTGATATTCAGAATTAAACCTTCTCTGTGTGGTAGTGAACAGTGTGACTAATCAAACAGATTCTGGTGATTCTGTATCCAAATGAGCTTTGGTGTTTTTTTCTTAACAGAATTTGGGTAAATGACCAGATTGTGGAGGTAGATGGAATCAGTCTGGTTGGTGTAACTCAAATCTTTGCTGCCACCACTTTGAAGAACACCAAAGGTCTGGTCAAGTAAGTATTGACACACCAAACTAAAGTTAAATTGAGTTGTGTGGAATTGTAGCTAAAGTTCAGGACCAGTGACATCTTAGCTTTCAAGCCCCACCAGAAATTAGCTATGAGCTCACACCATTGTGCAACTCACTCCAGGTTGCTCTCAAGAGATTTTCCCTGTACTACCTTTACTGTACGTTATGGACAATGAACATCTATTACCTATTAAGGAGGAAGTGTCGAGTAATGATTCACCAGGCCAAATCTAATCGCATAGTCAGTAAAATACCCGAAAGGTTCATAGTCCCAGAACCTCATGAAGGAATTTTACGTCCTCCAATGCAGGTTTCTCATTGGCCGGGAAAAAGCAGGAGTGGAGAGCGAGGTGGCCCGTCTGATCAGCGAGACTCTACAACACGAGGCAAGCCCTGAAAACAATGAGCCAAAAGATGAAGACCATTACGAAGCCCAGAACCATCAGCTACAGGATGAAAACCAAATTTCTCAAATCCACGACCAATATCAGAATCAACAGGAAATTGACCCACTCGCTGAAAAGAGTGTTGTGCAACAGGTCTGTGAACTGAACATATAAAGATAAGCTTGTTGTCATGAATATATGAGTCACTAAGTCATTGTTGGGCCCATAATATGATTGATTTGATACAGGATAAACAGCAAGAGACTGAAAAGGAGCAGGGGACGGAGGATGCGTCCAATGACTTGGCACAGGAAGTGTTTTCACAACTGAGGAGCCAAGGCATTGATCTACCTGAAGATATCGATCCTACTGAGCTAGAACAAAAATTCAAAGAGGTATAATGTCAATTTGCATCTATTTACATACACCTTATTCATCATTGTTAAGTGCTCACTCTTCAGTCTCACTTGAATTCTCTTTTTATAGCTGCATATAAAACACAGTATCACAGTCACAGAACTCGGTCAGTTGAGAGAGAAGGTAGGATTAAAAATGCAAATTTTTTTATTTAATAAATTCTGGACCTGGTGACCTGTTTAACTCTGTATGTGTATGTTATTTCATAGCTGCAAGTGAGTGAAGCAGAACGTAAGTCTTGGGAGACTCGAGGTGCAGCTCTTGAAAGTAGTGTTGAAGAGAGCAGAGAGCGCATTGAAAAGTTGGAAAAACACTGGCTTGATGCTCAGGCCCTCTGCAAAACCATCAACCAGCGTTTGAATGAAGCCCAGAGTCAACATGATTCCCTGCAACTCAAATACAATAAGACCCTCACACTTCTACAAGAGCACCAACACAGGTTTGTTTGAGCATGTAATGTGTTGTCATAGCAGAATCATTCTGGGAAGTGTTGGTGAGGCATTCTCAGAAATGTACTGATTTGCGGAAATATGAATCAAGCTGAATTATTGGAAATTCTTATGCTCCAAACAGCAATAGATGAGACCAGAATCTTAAGCAGAAATGCATTTTGTCATGCTTTGTTAACTATGGGGCTCTTCTTGACCTGTAGAGAGTCTGAATGTGCAAGGAAAGAGGCAGAAATTAAGAGAAAACTGGATCAAAGGGAGGGAGAATACAAGAGCAGTGTGAGGCAATTACAGCACAAGGTAAAACTACATCCTGTTCATGTTCATTTCTCTTATTTTGAACAATGTGAGGCCACAAACATTAATATCATTCTGTTGTGAGTTTTCACTGGGTATATGATTAAATGTGTTATACTTGCGTCGTCACCTTTATTTTTATAGCACTTTGTTTTTTTTTAAAGCACTTTGCACTATGATTGTACTATTATAGCGCTTTGATTGTTTCAAAGCAGCTTTACAGGGATCAACAGGAAAAAAAGGTTTCAATGATGCAAATATAGTTCAATTTGATTGTAAAGCAGTTCTAAAAAAGTGTCTTAATGTTCATCTAGATCATCAAGATAATTTTAAACAGACCTGATGATTCGTTAAACAGGTAAAGATTATCAACTATTAAATTAGTTCAATTCAGCTATAAAGAAGCTCTGCAGAAAATGTCTCGAGTTACGACTGTAACCCATGTTCCCTGAGATGGGAACGAGACTGCGTCGGTTACGACACTTCGGGGAATGCCCCCCAGCGTAGCGCCTCTGAAGCATGAATGAAACTAAGCCAATCTTGATTGGTGTTGCGTCATGACGTAACGTGTGACGGCATACACGGAAGCTGAAAAGGGACGCCAGCACACAACAGCGTCAGCTTCTGTGATGAAGCAAGTCGCTCCCATGCAAGGGAAGGCGTGGAGGAGGGACGCAGTGTCTCATTCCCTTCTCAGGGAACATGGGTTACAGTCGGGACCCGAGACATTCCCTTTCGAGGGAACTCGAACTGCGTCGATTACGACACTTTGGGGAACGAGTACCCACTATGCCACAACGAGCCCTGCCTGTCCCAGTGTGAAGCTGCACACAGGCACACTTAGGACGAGAGCACTAGAGTGCCAGGCGTAGAAGGGTTGTCCAGACTGTAAAATCTAATAAAAGTGTGAGGGATGGCCCATCCAGCTGCATCGCACACTTCTTGGATCGGGGCCCCTGAAAGGATAGCTCTCTGGGACGCCATGCCTCTGGTTGAATGAGCCCTCACGGCCAAAGGTGAAGGCAAACTGCGCACCTGATAAGCCATAGATATAGCCTGAATGATCCAGTTGCTGATGGTCTGTTTAGATGCGGGGAGGTTCGAATGGGGCCTCGACCAGCCCTTCGAGAACCACTGCCAGGTCCCATGTGGGAACCCTGGTACGAGCCGCAGGTCTCATCATCCAAGCCCCACGGAGGAAACGCACGACCAGCTGATGTCTCCCCAGAGGCCCATCACCCAGAGGAGCGTGGAAAGCCGCAATGGCATCCACGTACACCTTGAGTGTGGACGGGGTAAGACCAGTCGAGAAGCGATCTTGGAGGAGCTCCAGCACTGAAGCCACCGGGCAGTTAACTGGGTCCACCTCACGCTCTCTACACCAAACGGTAAAAACTCCGTTCTACGGTCTCTACTACTCCTACTGACAGGCCAGGCTCTTGGTACTGTGCCCCCTCAGGGGCCAGACCCACAGTTTTCATAGCTCTGGCCGAGGGTGAAATATTGAGCCCTCTGCCTGCGTCAGCAGGTCCCTCCTGATGGGAATCTCCCATGGAGGGCCGTCCAGGAGCGATATTATGTCTGAGAACCATACTCGGGCCGGCCACAATGGGGCCACAGCCTCGGCCACGTCTGCACCATGGCATCCAACCCCAGCGGGGCTGGATGTATGAGGGAGGACCACAGAGGACAGTGTGTCGTCTCTCGAGCACGAACAGATCTACTTCCACTGGGCCGAACCTCTGACATATTGACTCCACCACCTCGGGGTGGAGTCTCCATTCCCAGGGCTTCAGCCCCTGCCTCGACAGGATGTCTGCTCCCTGATTCTGATCCCCTGGGATGTATGTTGCTCTGAGAGACAACAGTCTCCCCTGGGACCATAGGAGGATCTGATGCGCCAGTCTGCATAGAGGGCGGGATCTCAGACCCCCCTGATGATTTATATAGGCCACCACTGACATGTTGTCTGACCTCACAAGGACGTGGTGACCCTTGAGGTCTGGCAGGAAACTCCTCAGAGCTTGGAACGTGGTTCTCTGGGCTGGTGCCAACACGCTTTTTTCGTGTTGAATCTCAACCCCAAGCTCTGGATGTGGGAAAGGACAACATCTCGATGCCGAACTGGCAGCTCTTGTGACTGGGCCATAATAAGCCAGTCATCGATATAATTTAGCACACTGATACCCTGAAGCCTCAGCGGAGCTTGAGCTGCATCCATGCATTTGGTAAATGTGCGAGGGAAGAGAGCTAGGCCGAACGGAAGAACCCGATATTGGAACGCTTCGCCCCCGAAAGCGAACCTCAGGAACTTCCTGTGAGATGGAAGGATGGATATGTGGAAGTATGTGTCCTTCAGATCTATTGTGACAAACCAATCTTTGGATTGAATTTGATTCACGAGGATGGGAATAGTGAGCATCTTGAACCTGAACCTCCTCAGAGACCGATTCAACCCCATTGAGAGCTGCCTGCGCGTGCTCAATCGCAAACAGTGCACACACAATTGGTGTGTGTCCCCACCCGTAATGTAACAAGGGCAGGGATGCACACACCGCTTGTAGCTCTGACTCGCCATATATATATATATATATATATATGTGTGTGCTTGTGACTGGTGACTGACAGACAACATAAAATAAGACACACACGAGAGAGCACTTGCTGAAGAACAGAAAGCTGACGCTGGTGTGTGCCGGCGTCCCTTTGTAGCTTCCGTGTATGCCTTCACACGTTACGTCATGACGCAACACCAATCAAGATTGGCTTAGTTTCGTTCATGCGGGGCGTTCCCCAAAGTGTCGTAATCAACGCAGTTTGAGTTCCCTCGAAAAGAAACAGTGATGTCATTGTTCAGCTCAGTTCAGTTCTCATCCAATAGTGTTTTTGTGCAGTCAAGTCAATAATATTGTTGAATATTAAATGTCCCCAACTAAGCAAGCCAGAGGCAACAGTGGCAAGGAACCCAGACTCCATCAGGTGACAGAATGGAGAGAAAAAAGTAGGTGGCTCTTTTAGAAAAGTAGAAATACCCTAATTACTCCAGTACACAAAGCCCTATGCAACTTTCCGTTTCTGACGCCTGCTTTTCACGGAGAAGAAAAGAAGTCGAATAGTATTTACGTTCTCATAAACAGCAGTTCAGATTTCTGTATGCGCTATGGTGTTTATCAAACAACACCAAATACAAGAGTACAGAGACAAAAGAGACATTCTGGATTCCTCCTCTACTATCGCTGAGATTTTGCAAAAATACAGCAGCAGCTCTGGTCATATGATCAAAAGGGTGAATCTTCTTGGTTGGTCAACTTTATTTATTATTATAACACCTACTAAACACACATTAAAGGCGGTTCAAACACATTAAAATGTTTGTCATAGCGAATTTTCGCACCAAACAATTTGTCTTGGTGTGAACAGGTCTTAGCCACTGGTGGTTACGGTTGGTATCACACATAATGATTAAGCTACAACAGATGTTAGTTGTCCATGCAAAATCATAGCAGAATTTTTTTTTTTATTATTAATTAATGTATTCAATTTAATTTAATACTTCTTTGCATTTCTCAGATAGCTTGTCTGGAGGGCCGCACTGGATCAAACCAACCCGAAGAGTCTTACAGCCCTGCAGGAGAGAGTCAACCTAGCAGTCCGACCTCCGGTTCATCTGAAAGAAACGGACTGTCTACAGACGACCTTCAATCTGGTGCAAAAGTCAAATTATTTATTCTGTGAAAGCTGGTCAAAAATAAAGGACTAACAGTTATATCTTGCTGTAGTTACTCTAGTTTATTTGGCTTGTAATACCTTTATTAATTACTATTTTGTTTGGAAAAGATTTAAACAGGCTAGCCTGAAAGTGTAGTCTTTTCTGGTTTTGAGATCTTGGTGTCTGTCGTTCCTCAGATGCAGACTGGGGTGATGTTCCTCAGACGGCTCGTCTGGACTGTAGTGTCTACAGAGCCAAAGCTAAGCTGGCACAGGGATCTCAACGCAAGCGGCCATCTCGAAATAAACTCAGAGAGTCAGCAAGAGGCTCACAGGCACCTAGCCAATCACAGGTACATTGAACCACAAACATTTAAATACCAGTTTCATTGCAGGTCACATAATTGTAAGGTTAAAGGGATAGTTCACCCAAAAATGAAAATTAGCCCATGGTTTACTCACCCTCAAGCCATCCTAGGTGTACAGACATTATTCTTTCAGACAAATACAATCGGAGTTATATTTAAAAAATTTCCTGGCTCTTCCAAGCTTTATAATGGGAGTGAATGGCTGGTGAAAATTTAAAGCCCAAAAAAGTGCATCCATCCATGATAAAAAAATACTCCACACAGCTCCGGGGGGTTAGTAAAGGCCTTCTGAAGTGAAGGCATGGGTTTTTGTAAGAAAAATAACCATATTTATAGCTTCCGCCAGACGACCGTACGCATACTACACAAGTTGACTTGCGCCACTAGAGTAACCCTTGATGCATGTATGACGTAGGATGTAGGAGTATCGTAAGCTTAGACGCCTCTCGCGGTTTAAACAAATAGGACTGTGCAACAAACAGAAGCTCCTCTTCTATTATATAGAAATCCTCCGACATTTCTCTTCAAAATTTCTAATTCGCGACCGGTGTTTTGTTTTGCTCTTTCTCTGAGCTTCCGCGTTAGTCATTACGTTGTGCGTCGGTTCAGGGGATAGTCTTCCTCTGTAAATCGATGCGTACTGCCGTCTGTAGGAAGCTGGTGATTATAGTTTATAAAGTTTTAAATATGGGTATTTTCCTTACACAAACGCATGGCTTCACTTCAGAAGGCCTTTATTAACCCCCTGGAGCCATATGGATTACTTTTATAATGGATGGATGCACTTTTTTGGGCTTCAAATTTTCTTTAGCCATTCTCCCATTATAAAGCTTGGAGGAGACAGGTCATTTTTAATATAACTCCGATTGTATTCGTGTGAAAGAAGAATGTCATATAAACCTAGGATGGCTTCAGGGTGAGTAAATCATGGGCTAATTTTAATGTTTGGGTGAACTATCCCTTTAAACTAGCCTCTCCTGTAGGATTTAAAAGAAAGTCTCACAATTTCTTAAAATGTAGATGAATTAGACTTTTTGTTTTGGGAAAATAACAGTGTGGTCTGTCCTTCTTCTTTTTTAAACAAGATTTTCCAGGTCCTTCTTAAGGAGGAGACTTTTGAGAATTGAATGCTGTTATTTACAAATATACACTTTTCAATTATTGCAATTTTGCAATAATTTCAATTTGATTTCTTCAAATCAAAGTTTTTTTTTAATTAAATCAAATGAAAATTTTATCTCGTTTATAGGAATCTGTGTGCATACAAGACAACAATCAAGAAAGAACAAACAGTGAAAGAAGGCGATCTTACCTCGAGAGCCTAGCCATACCCATTCAATCTATACAGTTTGGTTATGACCAAAAAGGTGAACCAGGCGGAGGCGATGTATTCATTCAGAGCCAAACACCCCAAGGAGGCAGCAGCACACAAGCTAGCCTGTCTCCACCTAAAGACTCTTCTACCCCTCAGTCCCCATCCTCCTCACAGTCCTCCTCTAGTCTACTTCTCAATCTGAGAAACAGGAGGAGCAAAGGCAAGGAGCGCAGCAAGAGCAGGGCGAGCAGAGGTACAACCATAAAAAAACTTCTCCTATGTTTTCTTGAAGTACTTTTTCTTTATATCACCTACTACCACTGGTTTACCTGCTCAGGCTTTTGATTTTTATTGTTCTTTCATTTTTCAGATGAAGAGAGTGATGGTTCACCAACACGAAAGTCCAAAAGACGATTCCCAGATTTCAGGTATGGCCTGGCAAGCAACTTGTTCTTGTGTGCCAATATCGGTGATTACAACAGGGAGTAGATGGGCCACTTGTAGGAAAATAAATAGGAGAAAATCATACAGCTAGAAGTCTCTCCTTTCACCGATTTTTTCCCCCCTTATGTTGTTTTAAATTGGTATGGCTTTCCACCGTCTACAGAACACAAAATAAGATATCTTTTTTTATGAAAGTCAATAGGACCCATAACTTTCAGGCTAAGAACCTCAAACGTCATGATATTTGGTAACAAGAGGTCCGAGAACCAATGAGGTAGGATGTTGACATTTGAGTATTGACGTTAATGTTGACATTTGAGCTTTGTGTTACCGTATTTTTAGGATTTTAATGTGATTTGAGAGTGAATAAAGGCTTTTTGATCTGCACATTATACAAAGTGATCATGTCTCTTCAGGAGACTGAATATATCGAATCATATATATTATATTAATTTCTCTGTAACTTTGACATTTTTGGACCCCATTGACTTTCAGAATATGAACAAAAAAGACAAAATATCTTTTGTTTCACAAAATAAATATAGAAAGTTTGGAATGACAAAAGGGTATGTACTTTATGACAGAATTGTGAACTTCCATTAAAATTATTTTTGGACAGAGGCATTTTATGTGCATGCTTTTATTATTAAGCATGATTTAGCATATATTCCTGAAATGTAATTTTTTATTTCAGAGATTTCTTTCCCCAATCAAGTACATGTAAAACACACAAAAATGGAACAGTTCTGACTTGTGCTTTTTCTTTTGTGTTGGTCTGTAGTGGTATCCGCAGGTCTGGAGGCAAAGGCAAAAAAAGGGAGAGCATCACACTCAGAGGATCTGTAGGGAGCAGGTTTGAATATTAAATGTCCTAATATTAACCTACAACATGTACTGAAGTTAAGTTTAAAATCATTACAAGTCTGTAGGTCTCCTCTGATATACATTACTTAGAATGGCTTCTGTTGTCTAAACTCAGGGGATCAGGAGACTTACTGGATGAGTCCAGCAGCAATGTTTCCCCCTCTGGCTCCATCTCTTCCGTCCCTTCCTGTATGCCATTTTCCTGGTTTGGGGACAGAGAGAAGGGAAAAGAGAAAGAGCGAGAGAAAGAGCGTTCTGCATCCAGCTGCAGTCTGCCTCGTACTCCTTCAGAAGGATACATGGAGGATCGTACAAACACGGTGAGTAGGGACCAGATGATGAGATGTTTTTTGTGTAGACCCTCAAGATGTGGTTTTCATAACTATCTTGAGTAAGAGGAAGAGATTAGTTAACAAGTTGTGTCTTCAGTAATTGAAAGCATTCATTTTTAGGTGGTTCATTAGGTTATACCCATTTAAAAGGAATTCAGTTTGCGGTTGGTTGCATTCCTGGATGTCATTTAAGGTTAATGTTTAAGCAATCCCATAACATTCAGCTTTTGATCCTAACAGGAAGTGAAGTTGTGTAATTGGGCATATTCTGAAGGCTGTACTGTACTGTTGTGGTTTTGAAAAGACATTTACAAAGTTTTAAGAGTTTCTTAAAAACAAAGAAACGTTATTTATTATTAAAGATTCTGCAGTATTAGGTCACTACAACTCCTTTGTACAAAAGGTCAGATGTTCTTGCTTCCATTGTACAAAGATGCTCTTTTGAAGAATTCTCAAATCATGCAGGACCCCGCTGTATGTAATTTTGTTTATGCAGAATGTGTTTTTCGCGATCTCTTCTTTCTCTCAGACCAACCTCTCCTGGCCATCTCTTCTCTCTCATTCCTTAGATTTGGTACAGTATGCATTCAGTTCCCCAGTTCATGTGTCTGTTGTGTGAGGACAGTAGTACGCTTAGTTGATAGCAGTTGCTACTAACCCTAGTGGACTCATTTTTGGTGTGGTTATGTTTAAAGATGAAATGCATCATTGTAGTAAAGGCATTCTTACATAATACACCCTTTGGCCGACACTGATAAAGCTCAGTCCTGTTCCATTTCTATGGAATGTGTTAGTTCAGTGACGTAGTTTGTATCTGAGAATGTACCCTTCCCTAGTAGGGAGAGATTGTTCTTGATGGTTTTCTAGTAACTGTATTTAATAAAATTGTAGTCATCCATTATTTGCACTATCACATGAGAAGGATGCAGGCTAGTAGTTGTAGTGTGCGATAGCGCTCCATTACCAGCTCTTACAAGTAATACAAAATAGTTTTGTGTTTCTACTGGTTTTGATTTCTGGAACTGTTTTCCACTGGTACTGCTTCCAAGGCACTGAAGGTAATATCACTGCTTGTTACTGCCCCATTTTTCCAGATTTTAGTTAAAAAAAAGCATTCAAGAGAAGAAAGTAACAAACCATGAATATAGTTCATAAATGAGTCAATGACATGATTTGTTTTTCTTTTCAGTTACACTTTATTTTAAAGTGCCCTTGTTATGGGGTAATTATACAAAAAAGTACAGAGTAATATTACTTAACAACATGTACTTACTGTTTAATTAGGGTCAGGGTTTGGTAAAATAAATGTTACCCTTTCTTTCTTTCTTTCTTTCTTTCTTTCTTTCTTTCTTTCTTTCTTTCTTTCTTTCTTTCTTTCTTTCTTTCTTTCTTTCTTTCCTTCCTTCCTTCCTTCCTTCCTTCCTTCCTTCCTTCCTTCCTTCCTTCCTTCCTTCCTTCCTTCCTTCCTTCCTTCCTTCCTTCCTTCCTTCCTTCCTTCCTTCCTTCCTTCCTTCCTTCCTTCCTTCCTTCCTTTTCATATAATTAAGTTATAATTGATTATTTTTGTGATTTTTGGGAGAGCGTCATAAAGCAGAAATTGTTCATTTTAATTCATTAAAATATTAAATGTATTAATTAAATAAATAATTAAATATAATTTACATTGATATCAGTACATTTTTTATAAATCACGTTTTACCTTTATTTTAAAACCATTTTGCACAATTAAGACGTGTACATGTGTTCAGGGTATAAGTAAAATATATTTTCTCTTTTTTATTGTTACAACATTCATATCATTAAATTTACATACACGTTTCATGAACTGCACGTAAACTATATTTGTCATTTTCTTCACTTTATCTTGAACAGTCTTTTTTTCATTGACCCAATTACACAGAAACTCTCAGTCTTGTTTAAAAAGTTGTTTTAGTCTGAACATTGAGGAATTGGTTAGATATATTTGTATTGATATAACACATTTAGTAACCCTTAAGCCACTTGCTTGATCTTTATTAAAACTGAGAAGAGCATGCTAATTCATCCCAAACTTCCCTTTTATATATATCTGTAAAACTGTTTGTGAGAAAATCATTTGTGTCTGTCTGTGTGTGTTTACTTGTGTATGTCCCCATGTCCTACTTGTTATAGGGCTTATCTGTGACGGATGATTCGATCGCAGGTAGTCCTCGCTCTGTGTTTGCGGGGTTACTGAAAAAGCCCCGTCTCCTGGGGCGTTCACACACACATGCCTTCTCCTCCTGCGAGGTGAGTGGCCGTGGGGTCACCTCTGCATGAGCTATCCTGTAGTTAATGGTTGGCATTCGTCACACACTAACACAAATATATTTAATCAGCACTGAACGTGAACTTCTGGTTTGTGAGGTGTTTTGAAGAGGAGAGCAAGTATCACCGGTGGAATGTGTGTGTCGTGAGGAAGGAATGGAAAGAATGAGATCATGCTCATAGCTATGAGAAAGAGAGGTGATAGTTCATCATGCATGTCTTTCTGTTTCACTTTTATAGCACATCATTTTAAAGATATGGTAATGTTAGTGAAATGTCAAAGAAAATTTGAGGGCAAAAAATTTCCATTGTCAAATGTGTAGCAAGCAATGCATGAAGCACAGCTCACACAGAAGTCAATGAGGAATTCTGTTGGTTAATGCGTCGAATTTGCTTGACCAACTTGAACTTGAGTGGAATCTGCATTGGGAACTTTTTTTTGTCCTCACTCGAAACTTCCAATTGAAATGACAGGATTTCGCCTGTGGTATGTGGAATTTCCCAAATGATTGCAACAGTCTTTCTACGCCCTGTTGGTAAGATGTTGCCACAGGTAACGTTATTTCACAAGTTGTGTTAGGTGTGTCAGTAGCTCAATGTTAAAGGAATTAAAAAATCAATCATTACTAATTCCACCTCATGTTGTTCCAAACCCATTTGACTTACTTTCTTCAGGGAAACAAAGATGTTCTGAAAAATATTCATACTGCTCTTTTCCGTCAAATTTCTCGACGGAAAATGGCTGGTGAATAATACCCAATTTTATCACCTCCTTAAATAGTTTTTTTTTTATATGTATAAAACTCACTATGAACTTAAATAAATGTGCAAATGAAAACTGAACAAAATATATATATATATATAATTATTATTATTTATTTATTTATTCATCATTTTCATAACAAAGCCATAAAGATGTCCTACAGGTGGCAATGGCCTTGTAGATGAGGCAAAATTACCGGCCACTGTCCAAAAAGTTGCAGAATTTTGCTGGCTGTTGGTGTTAATTCCCCACACAGTCTACAAACCAGTGAAGAGTCAATGCTTTTTAGTGTCATTGACATGAATAATAATTTCCGTGAATGTCTTAAATTTAGTCATATTCTTGAGGGCAGTACTCCAATACTCGAGTCCTGGCTTATGGTCCTTCCTATTTCTGTTCCCCTCTATCCTTTCTCCCACTGCCTTTCTTCCTATACTGTCTCATCACAGAAAAAAGACCAAAAATATGAATAAATAAAAGTTAAACAATTGATTGGTATATTGACGAATGTATTATGTTCCACTATTGTAAGTCACTTTGGAGAAAAGCATTCTCTAAATGCATAAATGTAGATAACATCAGAGGATTCCAAAAGATTTTATGATTGATCAAAGGTGCTTTTTGTTCATTTATTGTGGAGCTTGGCAGCCCCTGGTCACTACATGCATTCATTTGATTAAACAGAACTGTGAGAACATTTTTCAGAACATATCCCCTCAGTCTTCAGTCTATCTTGGTCTTCTTGATGTCTTCCACTGTTTCTGACCTGATTTTATAAGTGTGCTCCAGATTCACAAGTCTACCCTGGTAGGAATCTCTGTTGATCTGTTAACAGGCACTTTTAATTCAGGCACACAAAATGAAAAGGAAGTTTGCTTGAAATATGCTGAAGTGATAGGTTAGGGTTTTTTTTTTTTTTTTTTTTTGCATGGCAGGTTGGTGTAGTGCAGTCTTTTGCACCTAATGACTCCTCAGTATAACCATCATATGCATACTCTTGTTCTCAGACTCTTGATGATGGCCCTGCTCCAGCTGCAAAGCAATACATGTGGCAGAACCGCCCCCTTTCACAGTGGACCAATCAGCAGGTCTGCCACTGGTTGATGGGCATGAACATGGAACAGCATATAGCTGAGTTTACAGCTAAAGGTGTGGATGGCCAACATATCTTATGCATGGACAGCAGTAAACTTAAGGTTGGTCCTTGTATTATTATTATTTTTTTTTTTTTTGGTTGTAGTATTGTAGTTTAAATAATATTACACTGAAATATGTGTTGTCTTCCAGGAGCTTGGTGTTTCTAGCCAAAGAGATCGTTCCACCATTAAGAGGAGACTAAAAGATATGAAGAAGGCTCAGGAAAAACTTGAAAAGCAGCAAGTTAAAAGAGAGAAAGAGGCCAGGAATAGAAGTGGTCAGCCAACAAACGTTGAATCGGCCTGCTGAGGTAGTAGCCAAACCCGTTCAGTCAAGAGACCGCAAATGTGCACACACACCAATCCGAGTAATGATAATGTGTGCTGATAGAAATGGAGTAGATTGTCTCGCACACACAGGTGATTTATAGACTGGTGGGAAAGTAACAACATGGGTGAACACTAGAGGTCTTCTGCCAGTAAAGCCTGTAAATGCGACTTTAATAAGTTTGTCGTTAACATCTCTTTTTTACACAACCCAGGAGTTAAAGAATCGAATCCTGTCTGCCACACTGATTTTTAACATGCATAATGGCACTTTGAGAAAATGAGAACTTATTAATAATCTAATCATCCACAAGGTTGTTTCATTGGCTTCAACTGAGTTGCTTGTGTTGGTGCTGTACATGGTACTAAAAATGATTTTACTTCTGTCCACCAGAGGGCACCGATGTTAAATATCTGGCACTATGTAATGATGTTGAGATTGTGAGTCTCCTTCTTCAGAATTAAGTGGCAAATTATCACAAGCCAAGCTGCTAGTGCACAATCTGCACTTTAGCCAAAAGTCAACTAATAATCCGCGTGTGGATGTCTAAAAGTGATGTGCACACATTCCCAGGGTTAGTAGAGCACATGGTATGGCTCCCTCTCCTTGTGTGCACATTTATGTGAACACTTCATCACCCTATAGACTTCTTTTTTTTTAAGGAATAATTTTTTAAATGTCTACTGTACATAACTTTTAGTAATGTACATTTTACTGCTGAGAGGAGAGCAATTCATTGTCTTCTATGTCACGAATGATGATGTTTTACATGTGTATTAATAAATAAATATTTTACAACTACAGATTTTATTTATTTATTTCTGTTTGATTTTAGGGCATTTGTTTTGTAACTCATGACACATGTAGATGCAAAGGAATTTCAAGCGCTGTCAATTAAATTATCTTTCAAAATAATCTTGGTACTTTCAGATTTAACTTGATTTTGCGTTCATTCATTGAGATGCATCTAAAATGTTGCATCACTGACTAGCCGATCTGCATATCAGGCCCATTTCATGTGTAAATATAAAGATAATTTCATGTTGTCAGCTGTGGAAATTATTTATTTCCACAATAGCCTTAATAGGATCCCTTGAACCCTTCCATTTATAAATGAGCCTTTCCAGGGTTTCAAACTTTGGGCTGCTAATAATGTTCGAACCAAGTAAAATATTTTATTATTATTTTTACTGTGAATGAAGGCCAGAAGCACTGATTTAATTGATAAAAAAAGAAAAGCTTAAGTTTAACTAAAAAAATAAAGGCACAGCTAAATGTGACTAATATAATGCTTGTATACAGATTTGTTCATGCCCTGCCAAAAAAAAATATGTTCATGCTTAAAAAAATATATATATATATATGTAAATAATATTATAAATATAAAAATATTATATATATTAAATATATATATATATATAGTTTTTCTGTTGTTATTCACTCATGTAACCTTTTATTTTAAGACACTAACATTTTACAAACCAGGGAAATTTCACAATTGTCAATTCCAATTTTTATACCACAACAAAAACTACTATCCTAACTGATATAAAGTTCAAACATTTTTAAAGACAGTACAATAAAATTAAATGTTTTTTATTATTAAAAAGAAACACATGTAGCAAGTAAATTTACTTTACGCTAACACAATTTTAGAGTTACAGTTTTACCTTAAGGGCAAGGAACTTAATCATTGTTATTGCAAGAAGGTAAAAAGATTGTAGTTTCTGTGCCTGTCCAGCTCTAAGTATCAGAGACATTGTTTTATGTAGCTCAACCTTGATTTGTCTGTATACTTTGAGAACATTTTAGTACCATTAAAGTACATATTATTTCCATTTGAAAAGGAGCAGTGACAGCTTTTGTACCTTTTCTTCTGAGAGTGTGCCTTCTGTTCAGGTATCTGTTCTTTCAGACCCAATGTATTTTTTGTGTCTTCATATGTCATTAATCATCAGTGAGTGACTACATGTTGTCAAACTTCAAAGCTTCTTTACCTGGTATTTTTCCGCAACACAAAGCCTTAAACATTGAACTGTTTTTCCCCCCAAGTTTAACTAAAAACATTTGCACCTCTTACATTAATTTTAAGATCAGCAAAAATGTTTTATTTAGAAAATGAAAACGAATCTCTAATAATCAATTTCATTACTTCAGTGTCAATTGCGTGAGCTAATACATTTGTAAGTGGCTAAAATTTAAACAATACATACAATTGTCAAATTAAATGTCACTTTACAATTAAACAGAATTAATACTTTTCATTATTTGAGTATTTGCTTTGCCAACAGCTGCTGTTTTTAAAGAAAAGCAACTTTACAAACAAAGATACTTTCACAAATGACCTTCAAAAAGTAAAAGAATCCTTTAAAAGCTGATCTAACAATTGATTGTAGCAGTCAACTGATATTATATCAAACATTTGATTATAACAAAGTAGGTCCTAATAAAATCTGTCCCAGTTGTAGTTAAAGTACAGTGAAAACCTGCCTATGAAAATGAAATATGTACCTGACTGGTTTAAACAAATAAGCAACAAATAGAAAAAAAAAAATCCAAAGACACAAATATTTACATTCATCCAGGCAGTTTGAGCTGGATATCAAGAAGTCCTGGCCCACACAAGCCATTCATAAAACAAAGCAAAAACTTTTAATCTTTGGCCTTTGTACAACAGAAAAATCTGTTGAGAATAAATACATTAAATGTATATACATTGTTTAAGTGAATTTAAACTATGATATGCAAATGGGGTGGAACACGAAAAGCAAATTTCAATATAAAACAAAACATTTTTTTTCTATCCTTGTTAACTATACGTATTCCAGACACTATTTTGTAATACAATCTTTAAAAATCCCTATCCCAGGAATAAAATCTCAAATGTTTCCTTTAATGTTTTAATGGAAAATGAACGGTAAGAAGAGATCAGTGTGTGCAAAAGTAAGCATTAAAGGCCTTGGGAAGGAAGTCTTTGGTTTGCTTTCAGTTTAGCATTTAGCTATGAGTAGCTCTCATTCTCATTCCAAGAAGTCATCCATTGTTTCTTCTCCGGAGGATCCATTTCCTTTTTCCCCGGCATATAGTCCCTCTCTTCCCTCTTTATCCGCACAGCGTTATAACTGGGGACGCTGTCATCATACTTGGAGCGTTTGAAAAACCCACACTGTTCGGAAAAACAGGCAATTAGAATAGCGTCATGCTAACAATGCCCTACAGCATCATTTTTACAGGAAAACGAACAAAGACATAGTGATGTTGGGTGTGCAGCATGCCTAGCATGAGGTCAGAACAATACATTCAATGTTTTGAAGAAGACATAAGCAAGAATCATGTGCTGAAAGCGAGAGAGATGCTCCGTTAAATAACCCAAGCAGGCCAGAGAAATGTGCAAGTTCCTGAATCAAGCCACATCTAAAGGCTTAAAAGAGCTTTAGAGACTCAGACATTCAGTCATACCCAGTCACACGCACCTGAAGCTGAGTAAGAGTGAACGCAAACATGTACAGTATAAACCCTTTTCCAACAACAACGAGTCATGATTAGTTTGCATTCCTCATAGCATTTTGCTCATCACCGAGCAATGAAAGCCACGGAAACTGCCACCATTACCCCACATTTGGCATTGACAGGCAGCATGTGCATCAGACAGCAGTAGGTTAGCATTGGCTAATTCAACCGTTCATGCTAGTTCTGAGCGCACAGGTCAACTTGATCTGTGAGTTCTTTTACCCTAAGAAAGAGGTTCTTGTTCTCTGTCTGTTTCACTTTACGCATCTGAAGTCAGCCTCTCTTTTTCAGGTTCTTTGTCGCTTTTGCCGAAAAAACCGCACTAAAAGGGGTAAAGGTTTGTGTTTTAAATACTTAATGTCATATGAATGAAAATCTGTTTTACACTTTGTCAAAGTTGAATAAAAGTGAAGGTAAAAACAGGTTTAGGTAATCCTAAATGGGTCAGGTTGTGAAATGAGTCATGTGACCTTACCTTATAAAGCAGAAAGACCAGTAGGCCCAACAAGAGGAGTCCTAGTAAAATGGCCACCAGAATGACCCACCAGGGCATACCACCATACTGTGCTACTTTGCGTTCGGGAAACACAGTAACGCGTACCTGTACCAGGACAAATTGTACTTTAAAGTGCATTCTTTTAAGCCCTGCATATCAAGTCAAATTGATCCAACATGGAACAAATCATGGAAGGGGAATGAATAAATGCTATAAATGTCCTCACCTGGGCTGGCTCATTTTTCAGCTGTATATTTGTAGCAGAGGTCTTGAAATCGAGTGACGCCTTGACAATAATATCAATGTAATTCAATTTTGAATATTCCTGTAAGAAATAGTTGAAATTAGCAAAAGTATATTTACAAATGATAAGGGTCATGATATAAATGTTCTCGTTGTATTCAAGTTCATTTTTATTTATTTTTATACTTTTGTCATTGTCAAGAAAAAATGGTATGATTTATGTGATATAACTCACATATAACATATGTGATATGCATTTTGAAAAAACAAAAATACATCTTGAATGCACATGAGTGAACGCATCTCATATGATTATGATTTTCAAAAAAGGTTTTTAAACATAGTTTGCGATGTAAAAAGTATTTTACAGACTTTCAACCAAGTTTAATCCCACCACATGGCATTTTACCTTGACCTAAACACTTTTTTTCTAATATTAATAAGCAGCGAAGCAGTTTTGTTAATAAGTATATTTTTTATAATAATATGTATGTATGGATGGATTGAATGAACATGAACATTTTAAAACTAACTTTAACAAAGGTTAATAAATAAATTTCTCAATGTTGGTTTATGTTAGTTAATGCATTAACTAATGTTAACAAATGAGACCTTATTGTAAAGTGTTACCAAATAAAGTTTCTTTTCAAGAATTTCACTATTTTAATAAGGATGTTTTTCTGTATCATCCTGACATTTACTCAATATATATTCTGAATTTTAATTCAGAAATTAACATCTGGCTCATCGTAGAAGATCTGCATTCAAATCATTGTATGAATTGCATGTGTTTCTGAATAAATGTACTGTAAACCATTTAAAAATGAGGGTCACACCTCTAATGAAAGATCACACTCACCTCCAGGAAGGTAGCGTTCCAAAGGTAAGCTCTCAGGCTAATGACAGCATTGCTGTCCATTCCCATTAGAGGACATTTGAATGTTATACACTCCGCCCCATCCTCACAGGACTAAAAACACAACACCAGCCAGGGATTACAAACAAGAGGCTGATTATC